AGAAAGAAATGACGGTATCAGAAAACTTTTGTGGATTTGGTAGAATGAAGTAGATGTTGAAGATGCTCAGGACCTGAGCAGGTAGGGAGGGTCGGAGTGGGTATTGCAGGTAATGAGCCCCTTGAGGAAGATGCGGCAGAAATTCGTGCTGTGGGCCGGGGCTCTATGTGGTGCAGGTGGAGCACAGTGAGATTCCCGTGGGGAGAGTTGAGCTGTACAGAGGGTTTGTACTGGGAAGGTGTGGGGAGTGAAATGCTCCTGCACCACCTTCTCCCCACAAAAAGACACATGGCTTGAAAACAATCTAAATCTGACTGGGCCTGGACTAGTCAAAATAAAATGAGATTATTGATAAGGTAACATAGGCTAATGTTGTTCTGTGATAACAATGAACTTCTGAGCAGTGGGAAAGCACACCATCTTACCAAGCAGGTGGAGGGAACCAGTGATGGGTTTTGATCTGGAGTAATCTGAAGTAGAAACAGAGAGGCAGATCTGGGCCCCAGAGCAGAAGGCCCTTGAGTCCTTCCCCTGACCGATGAGCAAAAAAGGAGAAATGTCCAGGTATCTCCCTTCCTAGAAGCCCTTGGTCCCCCTCCACCGCCACCCCCCCCCCAGTGGGTTGGGCGCCTTCTGTGACTTTGGACAGAGCACTCAACACACTACATTGCAGCTCATGGTCTCCTCTGCTTGGCAGATGGCACCGTAGCCGGGGACCCAGTCTCGTTTGTTTCTATGTCCCTAGCATCCCCTACAGAGCCTGGCACATAGTAGGGACCCAGTAAATATTTGTGGGATGTGTGACTACAGCTACTGGCTGGTAGTTGTCAAAAGCTACCAATGGCAGTGTTCTCCTGGGTCACATTAGCAAAGGGACCAATGAAACTGATTTGGTGACCTTCCTGCGCAACCTTCACCCCGAGCTCTCCACTCAGTCAAGTCGTTCCTGCCTCTGAGCAGCTGACCCAATGGATGTGGTGACACAGAAACACTATCAATGAGGGAGGCTGGAACACAGAGGGAGGGGGCCAGGAGCCAGGGCTCAGAGCGGTGCAGGGACCCCCACAGACTCCTGCATTGTCACCCCCACCCCAGCTGGCAGCCGGCTCTGCCAGCTCCAGATCTCCCTCCCCTCCTGTTCCCACTAGCTGTGGGTTTCCCCAGCTTTCCCTGCCTTTGTCAACTGGATGCCTGTTTGATCTTTTGGAGCACATTTCCCCTTGAGGCTCACTGCTGAGTTGCTCCCATGTCTCCAGTTTCCCCCTTTCATCCCTGAGCCCGAAAACCGGCCGCAGGTCCTTCTCTTTTGTGCATGTATGTCTTTGCTTCTGTTTATTTATGCATCCTGCTAATCCTAGAGAGAAAAGTTGGAGGGCAGCAGAATTGGCAAATACAATGATCTGGGTGCCTTACCGTGGTCACTCATGGCCCCCCATCTGGATCATCTCTCTCCTACTCACGGTGTCACCTGAAGTCCAGTGGACTTCCCCCAATCTTCCTCCCACCCTCCAAGAAGGGAGCTCATCAGACTTTTACTCTCCTGCCTACTTGTTTGTTCTACCATCAGCCACTAGGATAGCACTCTTCCCTCAGACAGTTTCGATAGGGTTCAGGGTCATGGGCCTTAGTTCAAATGGACCCCACCCCATAAATGGCCTTGTTACAGACACTAAAAAAACATCTTTGAGCCTCAGTTTCCTTCTCTAAGAAATAGAGATGATGATTAATAATTATGTCAGCTCCCAGGGCTATTGTGAAGATCAAATGACATAAATCATGTTAAATAAACCCTCTGCAAAAGTGCCTGGCACAAAGGAAGTGAGAACTAATTTTATTCCCAAATCTAGGCTTCGAGGAGCAATTAAGGCACAGTAAGAGGTCTGAACAGTGTCCACAGCCACAAGTATGCTCACTCATCACATGCTACTTAAGGCTAGATAGCTCTTCTAAAATCCACACTGATGACATCTATTTCGCATCTGTTGACATTTGTCCCCCACGGACTATAAAAAACTCAAACGCGGGGACTGTGTCTTACTTATTTTTGTATCTTGATGACTAGCATTATCATCTGACATCAGTGTCTGATGTAAGCATGAACAGTGAATGAAAGAATGAATGAATGAATGAATGAATGAATGGAGTGGGCAGTCATCTCAAGGACCTCCAGACTGGTACCACTTCCTATGTCTGTTGCCTCCCAAACAGGAACTCTGACACCCCAGCTGGTGGCATAAAAAGTATTCACATAGCCCCGTTGCATCCAACGTACAGTGTAAACCAGTGCGTATCAGGCACTGTGCTAGGCTCTGAGATTATGAAAAGGACTAAGACATGGCCCCGTCCTCAAGAGGTTTAGAACCTAGAGAGAGGCACAAATCATCACTAATAATGCTTACACTGTAGGAATGCTTTACGAGAACCATAAAGAAAGTGTTTATGAAGTCCAGGGGAGGAAGTGATTAATTCTGAGCAGTGGTCAGGGAAGACTTTAGGGACATTTGGCCTGAACCTTGAAGCATCTATCAGGAGTCACTGCTTTAGAAATGTTGTAGAGCAAAGCAGCTGCATTCAGAAATTGGTTTGAATAAGTAGGACAAGGTTGGAGTTGAGAGCCCTGAAAACTAGGAGGAGGCATTTGGACTGCAAACCAGCATATTCTAAGCTTTTCCATGGAAGGAATTAATAGCAGCTGACACTAAGCCTATACTCTTGGGGGTCGGGGAACATCGTCTAAAACAGCCCACCATGCTTGGAATGTCCTTGGTCTTTTTTTTTTATCCTAAAAAAACATGAATTTTGCAACTTATGATATAACATAGGCATGTTTATTTAATGTAAAAATGCTTTTTCCACCTCAACTCCAAGTAAAATTAGTGTCCCAGGGAGATGCTCCATAAATATCCCAGAGCATTGCCTATGTCTTGGCACCCTGGACTGAGTTGGAGAGTGTTGGCTCCAGACTTCAGAGGTGCTGGGCTGAGATGGGGCATGATGAAAGCAGGTGCTGGGATGGAATTCTGAGCTGTCACTGGCATTCATGGTCTCAGGGGACAGTCCTTGCCTCGGGAGGAACACAGAATCAAATTATTGACTTTAAGTTCCAACAGTTCTTACAACTCAGCAGAGACAGTGTTGTTAGCAGTCAAGGTTTTTGATTTGCCAGAAGAGTGTTTTGCAATACAGAAGGCTAATACCTAAAGGAAGCTTGGCATGAAGCTGGCATTAGAAGTTAGAGAGTAGAAAAATAAGAGAAGACCCAGGCCACCCAGTCTGCAAACCAGATTAAAAAATAAAAAATGAAAAAATAACACCCTGGCCAAGACAGGGAGCTTCTGAGCAGGAAAAGGGTATATTAAAATGTGGAGGGTCCCTGAGAAGGAGCTTTGTGCCCTGCTGGGACACAAGACAGTAGCAGATAAGAACTCCTAGTTAAATTGGGGATTCTAAGAGGTAAAGAGATTTTTGCTTGCTTCTGGAGTTTGGGAAGCCCCAGCAAAATGTGTCATGCTACAGTGTAGAGGGGGCATGAGAGATGGGACGTGGGGACCCAGGACAGGGAGGCCCCAGTGGCAGGCCTGCATTTTCCTAGGCCCCACAGATAGCGGAAATCTAAGTGGAATCCCGCATTAAGACCAGATACCTGACCCACCCCCATGACACAGAATCTCCTTCCTATCCTCGGACCTGAAATACATCCAGAGGTGAAGCAGGAACAGAGAAAACACTGCATTTAGCTGAATTTAAACCCCAAATGACTGAGAAATCTCTACATTTTTGGCAATCAGGTAGAAATG